GAGAGAGAGAGAGAGAGAGAGAGAGAGAGAGAGAGAGAGAGAGAGAGAGAGAGAGAGAGAGAGAGAGGGTTTTTGGACGTATTGGGTTGGAGGCGAGTTGGAGGATGGGAGATTGATCTGAAGGACAGATTACTTGGTGGAGCCTTGCATTTTGGGTTTTCTTCTTCTTCTTCTTCTTCTTCTTCTTCTTCTTCAGTGCACGATTTTGCAAGGAGGCTCGCTTCTACTTTTGGATCTCGGTCACAGATTAGAGCCTCCTTGCAAAAAGAACGGATGCACTGAGATTAGAGCCTCCTTTGCAAGGGGTGCTTTTGCTGCACGATTAGGTCAGTCGTGTCTGATTTGAGTCTCCTGTGTCAGTGTGTCCTTCCCCCTTGTTGATTCTTCTTGGGCTTCTCATTACCGACGGTTCATCCGCGAATGAATCAGTTGGTATCAGACTCGGAGCAATAGTCCTAGGAAGTCCAATCTGATAGCACCTTGACATGTCGATTGATTGATTGATTGATTGGTTGGTTGATTGGTTGCAGTCCGAATGAATGCTTCATTTCGCCCTCCTTACGTTCCCTCTTCCTCCTCCACCTCCTCCTCCTCCTCCTCCTCATCTCCCGATCTTCCTCTGCACCTTTGTCTTCCTTCCTCTCCATACTGGAGTGTGGGTGATTGCGGAAGGGGGGTTAACCGTTTTAGGAATCCCTTCGCAGAGTGTTTTGAAAACCCCTTTCCGAAACCCCCTTTTGAAACTCCCCCCTTTTTGAAAACTCCCCCCCTTAAAAAAAAAAAAAAAAACCTCCCGCTTTTGAAAATCCTTTTTGGGAGTCCGTTTGAAAGCTCTTGAGAGTTCATGTAGGAACCCCTTTGGAGAATGTTTTTGAAAAGTTGAAAACCCCTTTTTGGAAACCCCTCCGAAACCCCCTTCCCCTTAGAAACTGCGTTTGGGGGGACCCTTTTCCTTGGCCTTTCCAGAATTCCTTGTTGAAAATGAAAAGCCCTTTTTGATAACCCCCTTTTGACAACCCCTTTTGGGAACCCCTTCTGGAATCTCACTTCAAATGCCTTCACGGTTCCTTGTGTGTAAATGTTGGAGATGAAAATAATTTTCTTTTGAAAATCAGTGAGAAGTCGAGACCAGGTGAGTTGGTTGTAACCTTATTTTTAAAATCTGGGCATGTTTCAGGGACACGTACAACGTCCATGTTCATTTACGTCTTACAGATTTTATAACTTTATATCCATGCATGTTTATGGTGTAGCCTGTGCTTGCCTTTATTGATAAATTACACCGCGCTCCCCCTCCCCCTTAACCCCACCCCACTTTATTGAATAGATAATGCATGGATAAACGAGTACTTTAGATCCGTGATAGGAGAAAGAGATGGCTGATCGTGTCGCGGTTTGACCCTTCTTATGTGTGATTGCCATGAAGGCGTAGCCCTCCGAGGAGCAATCAAGGCTGTCACCCTCCGCTCGCATAGTACATCTCAGTCTACCTCCTGAAGCCGAAGCTGGGTAATGGCCCCGGTCTATTCAACAGCTGTTAAATAAGATCTTATATGGGGGACGCTGGACCCGGTTTCCAGCAGGTGTTGCTCCCCACCAATAGACAGGACCAATACTGGGGGATGCTCATATCACCCTCAGCAGTGCCGCCAGCAGATGTTTTTGTTTTGAAAAGGGCATATGGCCGTGATTCATTGGACTACCGGTACCTCCAAGCCTCTTTTTCCCGACATGGGTTTTGGCTGCCTGGTGATGAAAAACGAACCGGCGTGGGAAAATCTTTTACGTATCTGGCGGGCACTGCCAGCCAAAGAGATCAGGAAGTCTTGGACCCCTGAACTGCAGTTTTCGGGGGTCCGGACCCCCGGATGCCGCAGTTCTATATACACAAGTTGGAAGAAAATGGCTGGCAGACATACTGGTGGTTTAGGGCATATATGTCAGGGTGCAGAAGGTGCAAGCCAACCTTCTTCTCCCCGAAGGCCGGGCCCGGGCCCGGGCCCAACTGGTACTATGGGCATGCTAAGGAAGGAAGAGCATTGCAGTAAAAACGCTCTTTGCGAACATAGTACGGAATGTACCTGGCCCTAATTTCTGGCACAATCTCCAATGAGGTGTATGGAAGGGCTCCTTGCAAATTGAGTTCCGTGCCACTGATATATCAGTAGCGATTGGCAAGATCTCTCTCTCTCTCTCTCTCTCTCTCTCTCTCTCTCTCTCTCTCTCTCTCTCTCTCTCTCTCTCTCTCTCTCTCTTCCTTGTTTTAGGTTTTACCGTTTTTCGTTGATGGCATTGTTACATTCACACACTGGCCCTAATATGTTGATACGTGCACACAAACCATAGTTAGCACCGGTGTGTCACAGGCACCCAAACCGCAGTTAGTGCCAGTGTGGCACAGGCACACAAACCACAGTTAGGGCTATCTCTAACTGTGGTTAGCCCCCATGTTATGGTATAATCAGGGCATACTCACAGTAGGACTTTTCTGGCTCAACTCTGGACATAATTGCGGTCAGATACATGCGGAATCTTCTGTAACTTCAGTCAGATACATCTAGGAAAGTCCTAGTGTGAGTATGCTCTCAGGATTTGAACTCATGATGAGTTACTCATCTCTACATATATATCGTCACAAACAGAACTGCCCGGTAAACCGTAGGCAGAGAGATAAGAGGACAACAAACGAGGGACTGTGACAAACTGTTTCGTCGGAGTTTCACCAACTCATCAGGAGGCTGAATATATATATATATTTGACGATATATATATATATATATATATATATCTGTTTGTGACGATATATAACATTTACCCACAAGGCTGGGGTGCCTATATAATGTGCCACCGGAAGAGATGGCCTTCTGACTGTCATAGGTAGTAGGTCTAATATATGGTCTAGAAAAGACCGAAGTGCCCGAGGGCTGAAGCACCATGCAATTTTTTGTAAGCTTATTGACTAAGAGTCTAGGAGACGATAGGTCGCTACTACGGTCTTCCCCCAAACACAATGCACCCTGGTCATGAATGAAGAATACCGTCCGTCTTTCCAGTCTGATACAGTCAAGATGAGGGTGCATTGTGTTAAGCGAAGACGATAGCCAAAGGCCATTGTTTGCTGGCAGTGGCAAGTCAGCTCCTGGTAAAGGTTCACCAACTCCATGTCGACGAAGGCCAGACAAAATCCCTCCGCTCACCTCTTCTTCGTTTCCCTCCCCTCTCCTCCCCTCCTTTTCCCTCCCCTCCCCTCCCCTCCCCTCCCCTCCCCTCCCCTCAGAGGCAACTCCAAAGGACCCCCCATTGCACTTGGAACATCCTCAATTAAGGCCATCGAGGGTGGCGTTCGCCCTCTGCAGGGACCCCCCAAGAAAACACCCTTGGGTCGATGCCATACCTCAGTGGTCCTTGGTTGTAAAGGCTCTTAGGGCGAACTGTTGGGGTGTATTCAGAATCCCTTCGGGGGGGGGGGGGAGAGAAATAATGTATAAAGTTAAACCTCAATAGTCCTAATGGTCACATTTTAGAGCCCAACTTGATTCTGGTTCTATTGTTAAGTTCGTAGAGCATTCAAGTCCTGTTCGATGTCTTGCTATGCCCATTACCTTGGATTCATGAACGCCCTGTTCCCTGTTCGACTGACGGTGCTAGGGTGCTGGGCAGAGGGAGGGGGGGGCTCGAAGGGCGGTGATGCCTCTTCCCCCCCCTCTTTTTTTCTAAATCTTTTCTGTTTGTTTTTCTTCGTTCACTGTCTTTCTTACTTGCTTGGTCAGCATTCGTTAGCCTGGACGTACCAGGCTCCGTTTAGGGCTCCATCAGGGCTCCATTAGAGAGCTTCGTCCAGCTGTCACACTACCTCTCTCATTCCCTCTCCCTGTTGCTCTACCTAGACTGAACGTTGCAGCAAAGACAGCTATAAATGATCGTTGTTGTGTTGTTGTCCTCGTTCCTCCTCCTCCTCGTTGTGTTGTCCTCGTTGTTCTCTTTCCTCAGATTCTTGATGGCACTATTTTATTATCGCTCTTTATATTTATTTAAAACTCCCAATAATTGATCGACATGCAGGGGTGTGCCCCGAGCCCATTTTGGTTTCCAAATGAGGGGCAAAAAACAAACGGACAAAAACGTGAGCTGACTCATTGTGTGCTTGCTTCATTCTTTCCTTTGGCCGATGCAGACGAAGACTTACAGAACGAAGACGTGCAAAGTGAAGATTCCGGCAGAACGATGGTTGCTGCGGGTGATTGGGACACGATGGAAGAATGGGACAGTCGGTACTTGAGGGAGATGGATGTGGAAGGTGGGACAGCCGTAAGGGCTGGGGAACTAGTGACGGGTGCTCCTGGCACGAAGGATGGTGGGAATGACCGGCGAGGACGAATGAGTTCGCGGGGTGAGCGGCGGAGACGGTATCGGCAGGTTTTTGGTGTCGACGTCTCGGCCGACAATGTGGCTATATCTTTGGTTTATTTTGTTCAAGGTGTCATAGGCCTTTCGAAACTGGCGGTCACATTTTTCTTGAAGGATGACTTAGGACTCGATCCTGCCGAGGTAGGTGAGTTCACCACCCAGAATACAGCTGCTGCACATTCTCAAGGCTCGACGCCCCTAGCTAGGGAGACAAGATGAGAAATTTTGTTACTGTTTAATATTCTCTTCCTCTCTCCCTCTCTCCCTCTCTCTCCCTCTCTCCCTCTCTCCCTCTCTCTCCCTCTCTCCCTCTCTCCCTCTCTCCCTCTCTCCCCCTCCCCCTTCCTCTTTTCCATCTTCTTGTTCCTCTTTGTTTGTGCTTCTTCTGCTTCTCCTCCAGAATGAGCTGAGGAAAATTGTTGTTACTGTTTAATATTCACTCCTCCTCTGCCTGCCTCCCACTCCCCTTTAATTTTTCACTGACTGGCCCAATGTAATTCACGAATTTGATTAGCCTCCATCCATCTGCATTCGAACTCAGGTCTGTATTTCAACGGTTCATGGGTGTGCCAACTCAGCTAGGCCTATTGGTGTCTCCGCGCCCCCTTCTCTCTCTCTCCCCCTCTTCTTCTTCTTCTTTTTCTTCTTCTTCTTCTGCTGCTGCTTCTGCTTCTGCTTCATCATCATCATCGTCACCTTCTTCTTCTTCAGCTCATCCTCCTGCTGAACCATGTCATTGTGACCTGCATTTTCTATTATGGCCAGTGCCATCCTCATTAGCATTATTATAAATTTATAATCGATTATTGCCAAACGATTCTTTTGTGATCACCATTGCAGCTGACCGCTGGACCACCAGAAACTCACAGCCTTTGCATCACTCTTGTGTCTGCAAAAGCTGCACCAGCTGCCTGCAACAACTGGTTTGGGAATGACTACTGACCAGGCAACCTAGACTGGTTGGACTCTAATGGTCAGTGGTTGATTATTGCAGTGGTCGATGATTGGCAGTTGATGTTGATGTAACTCTGCCAGAGTCTGCCTGATCACATACCTTTGCTTTCAGGGATGTTTTTTTTTTTTTTTTTTTTTTTTTTCCCCAACGTGCACACCATGCACCAGCGCAGTGTGTGTGGAGTGTGGTGCACATGTGCATGTTGCCGTGTGCATGTCATGTGTTGTCTAGGTACTACGTATGTGCACGTGATAAGTACGTGTATGTGACGTGCTGTAGTTATGAAGGATGCTGATTACTACTTAGATAGCAAGGTCTTGTAGCTACCGAGTAGACCTTTGTTCGGAGTTTGGAGTTCGAAGTTTGAAACCCGATACCACGTACTTCGAACCTGAACCTGATTGCTATCTAAATAGTAATCAGGTTCGAAGTACGTGGTATCGGGTTTCAAACTTCGAACCCGATACAACGTACCTCGAACCTGATCACTATCTAAATAGTGATCAGGTTCGAAGTACGTGGAATCGGGTTCAAACTTCGAACTGCGAACATCAAACGTGGAACCCCTTTGTTTTTCCCTGCTAGAGAAAAGTGATGTACTGCGGATATATATATCGGAAGCAAAAGGAAGGAAGCATGGGAGGACAAAAAAGAGGCCTGGGGCACTGGGACAGTGGTGTCGAGTGAGCACTGGGGTCTTATCTTTATTAGGAATGTAAGTATATAGATCGTCAAACAGAGCTGCCGGGTAAACCGTAGGCAGAGAGGGAGGGAGAAGAGTAGAACAAACGAGGGGCTGTGACAAACTGTTTCGTCGGAGTTTCACCTACCGACTCATCAGGAGGAGGCTGAACCCTCAACAGTCTGCAGAATCCCCTACCTAACTGATTACACTGTAAGTGATATCCCACCTTAACCCCGGTTGTGGTTAAGCATCAACGACTGTTCGACAACTGATACGCTGAGGTGGGAACCAACCACTGCCCTCGAGGTACCTGTGACAAAAATGAGAGCAGACTATCACTCACCCACACCAGATGGAAAACTCTACAGAGTGTCGGTTCACACCCCATCACAAGCCAGCAAAACACCCACGAAACAAAGAAAGGCCTGTCACAGCCAGAAAATACACTCCAGACACGCCGCTGGCACTAGAGGCACAGCATGGCCGCGTAGTGACGGCCCCGACCACTGCCGCTCGACTATGTATAGGTGAGCTCCTGACCTCCGTGCTTCAGGAACGCACCTGGGGTTCAAACTATAGGTTTGTCTGCTACAGAGAAGTTGGTAAAACTGTCTAAACTGGATAACAATCATACAATGTGTATTCTTCAACGATTTCTTGTTTTCAATTGTTTTTGGTCTCGCAAGAAAAAAGCCAACTGTGACAGCAGTATACCCCTCCCCCCCCTCCCCTGCCCCCCCACCGAAGCATATGACCCTCCAAAGGGTTGTCCCAAGCCTGATCTCACCCTAATGGTCCAAGCCCTAGTACCACCGTCTTCACCCGAATAGAGAGCGCCCAGTCATTTTAGCTGTATCTGGACTGAAAATCACACGAAATACGGCTATAATGACCGGGCGTTCTATTCGGGTGAAGACGGTAGGCTGCTGGCTATCCTCGAGTGACCTGCCCCTCTTCAATCCTCTCTTCACACGTGAAGTCCTTATGCCTGCCCTTTGACACCTGATCTCTGCAGACTGTCACAACCCCTTCTGTGTGCACTTTTCCTGACGTCTTCTGTCCCTTTTTTCCACAATGCAAGCCCCCACAGGTACACCATGTGTCGCTAATCCTCGACCTCGATGCCTCGCTGACTCTCTCGTTAGCAGCCTCAGTCGTGAGGTAGTGCCATCTGATCTGCCTCTGTAGTAAGGATCTGAAAAGCCTCTGGGTCTGTGCGTTAGTACCGGACAATAATACAGCATTAATACCTATATATGCCGGGTTGCATACCCGCAGACTGGCGACCCCAAACTCCGACCGTTTCGCAGCCGCGACTGGTAGGGCCGACCAGTTGGCGGTCTGCTGACCAGTCAGTAAACAGCCATCCACTGATTAGAAAAAAAAAATCTGACTATGGGGCTGTACTGCGCTTGCTG